AAAAAAAAAAAAAAAAAAAAAAAAAATATATATATATATATATGTGTATATATATATATATATATATATATATATATATTCCAGTTCTACCAACCATCTATAATTTTCTACTTACCTCCTAACGGGTTTTTCAAAACATAGTTATGTCCTCAAAGTATGCGCCTTGAAAACAATCTGGAATGATAAACAGTATGGCAAAAGTATTAGAGAATGGCGATTTCTTGGTGATGGGGTTACGGATGATTTTCATTTGTTTTTTCAACTGCAATATATTTTCTAGTATTTTGTACAACAGATATGGGGTTCTTAGCTCATACCCCCAAAACGTTTGAAAATTTTAGGCCCATCTTATAGGGGCTTTACAAAATAAATAATACATTTAGTCACTAAGATAAGCTACAGAGGCTGAAATAGTCTTCCCCAGACTGCTATCATAACTCTTCCTAAGGGCCAAGACAAACATGTTGCCTGCATACGGGCCCTGCTCTCTGGGGCCTCTAACACACACTCCCTGATTTTCTTTAACTTCAGGTCCTGTTATTCCCCAACACAGACTCTCATCTGCTCACCACCTTCCCACCTTCAGCACCTGACTTTCCTTCCCAACTTTGCAAAATCCATTTCCCATTCTTTTTGCCAATCATAACAGGGGTAGGTACCACCTGCTGAATATTTTCCACTGCTCACCTCTAATTTGCCTAACAACTTTCCAAGATAGGTTTATTATCCCCATTTTACAAAAGAGGGAGTTCATGGAGGTTAACTATATTGTCATAGCTAATTTGATTGTCCCACATTTTCACATTGCTCAAGCATTTTAAGCAAGATCTTTAAAAAAAAATCTCCACATTAAACCAATGAGGTGCAGGCCATGGATCATTTTTGTTTGTTTTACAGATAGAAATCTGAGACTCAGAAAGATGAAATGACTTGTCCAAGTGAGTGGCAATGTCAGGACTTATGGACGGACTCTTAGACCTTCTACGCCAACACACTGCATCCCTGAGGACCCATTTATTCACTCACTCAAATACACTGGGTGTTTGTTGAGCGCTTACTATGTGCCAAGCACTGTGTTAGGCTTGGGGATACAAGAGTGAACAAAGGAGCAAAAGCCATTAAGGTCACTGCCCTCATAGAGCTTAGAGTCCGGTGCAAGGGAAGAGGGATGAAAGACATTAATAAATTATGGTGCCAATCATTATCAAGTCACAACTGTAACAACTGCTACAAATGAAAGGTACATGGAATCATACATAAGAGCCTCTAATAAGGGGATTTGACTTGTTCAAGGAAATCAGTGAAGGCTTCTCCAAGGAAGTGATAATCTAGCTGAGGTCTGAAGGATGAGCAGGCACTACCTACATGACAGAGTAAAAGAAGAACATTCCATGGTGTGGGCCCTGTGATGGGAAGAAGTGTGACACTCTGGAGGGAACAGATCAGAGCAATTAAAAGACTTTGGTAGAAATCCAGGCAAGAAATAGTCATAGGATTGGGTTAGAGTCGTCTTTAAGGAGCTGAAGAATAGTAAATAGGGGGCTTCCCTGGTGGCACAGCGGTTAAGAATCCGCCTGCCAATGCAGGGGACACATGTTCGAGCCCTGGTCCAGGAAGATCCAACATGTCGCAGAGCAATTAAGCCCGTGCGCCACAACTACTGAGCCTGCCCTGTAGAGCCCGCGAGCCACAACTACTGAAGCCCGTGTGCCACAACTACTGAAGCCTGCGCACCTAGAGCCCATGCTCCGCAACAAGGGAAGCCACCACAATGAGAAGCCGGCGCACCGCAACAAAGAGTAGCCCCCGCTCTCAGCAACTAGAGAAAACCCGCATGCAGCAGCGAAGACCCAATGCAGCCAAAAATTAAATAAACAAATTTTTTTTAAAAAAAAAGAATAGTAAATAGATTCAAGAGATGTTTAGGCAGATGATGGAAGAGGTGACATGATTCCCAGGTTTCTGGCTTGTGCACTTGGAAGGGCTACAGGGTCAGTTGCTGAGACGGGGTATTCCAGAGGAGAAACAGTGCAGGACGGATTAAGTGCGATGTGTCTTTGAGATGCTAAGAGAAGATGAGAAGGAAGACACCAGACCAGAACTCAGAGAAGGGTCCAGGCTGAAGCTATGTTTGTGCACAGAGGTGGTAGTTAAAACCACAGGAATGCAGAGGACCATGTAGGGGGAACAGACAGCGACCTACAACTCAGCCTTGAAGAATCCCAGCATCTCACTGCTAAGCAGCGGAGAGTAAACCTGCAAAACAGACTGAAAAGGAGCAGCTGGAGAGAAATGCAGAAAGGCTGGAAGACTCGTGTCCCAGAGCTAAGGGAAAAGAAAGCTTCAAGAATGAAGTTGTGAAAAGAAGCAGACTCACAGATATAGAAAATAAATTAGTGGTTACCAGTGGGTAGAGGGGAGGGAGGGGCAATATAGAGATAGGGCAGTGGGAGGAACAAACTGTTGGGTATAAGATAGGCTACAAGGATATACTGTACATACAGGAAATATAACCAGTATTTTCTAATAACTGTAAATGGACCGTAACCTTTCAAAATTATACAAAAATTTTTAAAAATTAAAAAAAAAAAAGAATGAAGTTGTGGTTGACTGTGTCAAAGGCTGCTGAAAGGCCAATGAGGATAAGAGCTAGAACGTCTACAGGATTTGCGTAGAGGTCACGGGTGATCTTAGAGCTGGTTAGGTGGAGTGATAAGGATAGAACCTAGCCCACTTGAAGCCTTCTTACCTCACCTCAAGCATTCCAAACTCCCGATCATCCCTGTTTGGTGGTGAAGAGCATAGTAAAAGACTGGGACTTAGCGCATCCTTCAACTGCAAACCGATTCAGGTTGCTCCCTAGCTGTCCCAGGGAGCTGTCCCTAGCGCCACCCCCTGGCACATCCTTTCTTCTCCCAGATGAGCCTACCACAGCCAGGATGCTCATTTCATTGTCTGGTTCAGATTCTGGGAGATGTCTCTGACTCTGAAGGCTCCTGACAGTATCTATAAGCCGTTCCACCAGCTCTGCGAGCCCCCAGCCAACTTCTGTGATGCTCTTCTGCGCCACCGCCTTTAAAAGAGCAAAGCAGAACACAAAGCTGGACCCAGGAACCAGTTCTAGACAGAGGGAGCTGTAAACACTGGATAAAGGAGGCAGGCAAGGAAGTGACAAAAATGTCTAGGGGGCAAGGAGGTAAGCTCCCTGGACCTTTGGCATGCCCATTTCCCCCTACTGGTGGCCCAGTGGCCATAACAGAGAACCAGAGTTCATCCATAGGATGGGGGAGGGGGAGGGGGTGAGGCATGAAGGGAAGCCTAGGGGTCATTTTGAACAGGGGAAGTCAGAGACGAAATAGGGTGAGAGCCTGGAGGTTTGGCAGCACTGGTGGCAGCTGATGAGGTGAGTGGAAGGCATTTGGCTCGGGTTTCAGCTCCACTCTCAACTCTGACTGACTCGTCCTGTGTCTTCGTCACTCCTTTCATAAATAAAAGCGACCATCCCTCCTTCTCTTCAACAGTGAAAAGGATCGACTATGAAAAGATCTTGGAGACTTTAAAGTGATGTGCAGATGCAAACTCTTTTTGTTTGTTTATTGACATCCTTCACATTTAAAGAAACATTCAGATGAGAATGCTAAACCACTCCGCTTCCGGAGCTTCATCTGCTCAGCTGCCTGGCTGGGAATGGGAGGAAGTTTTGCAGCCAACACATTCTGGCAACACCCTCAAGACCTGGTCACAGTCATCTGAGCAGGCGGGGCCCAGACTTCAATGGAGAAATCTGCATTACCTCCAAAAGAGGTCCTACAGAGAGCCACAGAAATACAAGATGTTCATCATCTTACTCTAAATAAACCGGAGTTTTTAGAACTTTGGAGGGACATTTTTCACTTTTTAAATTATGCTGGAACCTCAAAAACTGGAGAACCAGTTTTTCATCTCTAAGAAGCACTGACGTCCCTCAAAATAGCATGTGTTTTGGAAGCCATATGCAGACTATTTTATAGAGGAGGTGGCTGACCACGGGTACAATTGTTTGCTCTTAAATTTCCAGATCTCACTCTTAAATATTCAGGCAGCTGGAATTCTGGAATGGAGCCCTTATCTAGACACCTGAACAAATTAAAAACTTTAAAAAATAAGTGTTTGCTTTTTCCATCCATAAAAGAACTGCACACTCATTGTGGTGAATTTAGAAAATACAGAGAATGAGAGAGAAGAAATGTTTTAAATTATCCGATATCCTACCATCCACAGGCAATCATTTTAATTTAAAAGCCAGTGGAAAGTATATTCCGTCACTATAAGCTATACTAACAAAGGGTTTTAAGGACCTGAGGAATAATGCTGTATTTATTTATTTATCGCCTGCACCACTTGGTTTATAGGATCTCAGTTCCCCGACCAGGGACTGAACCCGGGCCACAGCAGTGAAAGCACCCAGTTCTAACCACTAGACCACCAGGGAACTCCCAACGATGTATTTATAACCAAAAAGAAGAGAACAGCTTTATTCATAATTGCAAAAAAAAGGAAATAACCAATATGTCCATCAAAAGGTGAATAGATAAACTGTGGGACATCTACACAATGGAATATTATTTGACAATAAGAAGAAATGAGCTATCAAGCCACAAACCTTAATTTTGTTTAATGAAAGAAGCTAGCCTGAAAAAACTAGATACTGTATGATTCCAAAGATACGACATTCTAGAAAGCGCAAAACTAAAGTGATAGCAAAAAGTCAGTGGTTGCCAGGGGTTGGGGAGAGGGAGGGGGTACAAAGAGGCAGAGTGCAGGGGATTTTCAAGGCATAAAACTGTTAACTACAGATACATGACTTCACGCATTTGTCAAAATCCATAGAACGGTACAACATAGAGAGTGAACCCTGATGTAAACTGTGGATTTTAGTTAATAACGACGTATCAATATTGGTTCATAAATTGTAACAAGTGTACCAAACTAATGCAAGATATTAATAATAAGGGTAACGATGAGGTGTATATGGGAATTTTCTGTACTATCTGTTCAATTTTCTGTAAGCCTAGAACTGCTCTAAAAAATAAAGTCTATTAATTAATTTTTTTTTAAAAAGAGGAGTGGATAGCTCCAAGCTCTTTTACCCTCCACCAACCCCGCCCCCCCCCCACACACACAAACTCAGAGAAACGTCTCAAGACAAGCAGAAACTGTCAGAACCAACTTTGTCAGAACTCTGGCAGACACTGACTCAAAAAAGCACAACCTGGCAGTAGGAAAGCTTTGTGGCATTTTGACTTGCTCTTGCCCCGTTCCCTTCCTGGCTCAGTGATGGTATTGAAAATTCCCAGCGTGAAACTCTGGTCCTGGTTCCCAAAGGAGCAGAGCAGATCTTATTCACAAACCATTGTGTCTGTCTGTTCTAACCTGGCTGGGGGTGCCTGAAGGAATGCCACAGGGTGCTCATCTTTGTTTCACCTAACCCAGAGCTCAGACCAGAAAGGTGGTGAGTATTGCTCAGAAGTTCTGCAAGCGGAGTTAAACTTGCAGGTGTCTGGGGCAAAAGACTGTGGTGGAAACAGACAATAATCTAAGTCCCAGAAGCAAATAGACCAGGAGCAAATAGACCTAAGTCCCAGGAGCAAAAGTTGGGGAAAATTGGAATCCTACTTTGTTAATGGGAATGCAAAGTATTGTTGTTGCTGTGGAATGCAGTTTGGCTGTTCCTCAATAAGTTAAACACAGAATTACCATATGATCCAACAATTCTACTCCTACCCAAAATAACTGAAAATAGGAACTCGGATACTTGTATATCAACGTTCACTGCAACATTACTCGCAATAAACCAAAGGTGGAAACAATCCAAATGTCCATCGATGTTTGAATTGATTCAAAAAAAAAAAAGTGGTATAATCATACAAGGGAATTATTATTCAGCCACAAAAAGGAATGAAGTTCGGATACATGATACGACATGAATGAATCTTGAAAACATTATAGCAAGTGAAAGAAGCCAAAGCCAGAAACAAACTGACAAATATTGTATGATTCCACTTCTATGAAATATCTAGAGTAGGCAAAGTCACAGAGACAGAAAGTAGAATAGAGGTTACCAGGGGCTGGAGGGCAGGGGAGGGAGAAATTATTGCTTCATGGGTACAAAGCTTGTTTGTGGTGATGAAAAAGTTTGGGAACTAGATAGTGGTGATGGTTGCACAGCACTGTAAATATAATGCCACTGAATTGTACATTTTAAAATGGTTAAATGGCAAATTTTATGTTATATAATGTAAACATATTTTAGCACAATTAAAAATTGTCAGAGAGACACAGTGGGTGCAGAAAGACTGGAAATAAGTGGAAAGAGGCCAGGGTGGATAGCGCCTAGGTTGATAGGATTTCTGATTTTGATTTTTTTTTTTCTGCTTCATATTTTTCTGAACTTTCCAAATAACGGGTTCTACGTTCAGACTGAGAAAAGTAACGTGAAAATACAATCAGCAGGAGAGGAAGCGCCGTGGGGATAATGGGATGCAGTCGGCGCGCGCGGGCGGATCGAGGTCAGAGGGCAGTCTCTGGTCCCGCCTTCCTACCGGCAGCTGCGCTGTGCGGCGCGGGGGCCCGGGCGCTGGGTTCGGGCCCTCCAGCTCGCGTGCCTCCCGAATGTACTTGTCCTCCAGGTCCTGCACCATCGTGTTCTTCCGCAGCTGCAGCGGCCGCTCGGCGCCCTCGCGGCAGGTGGGTCAGGACCTGTGGCGCCCTGCGCCCCACAGACCCATCAGGCAGTTGTGACAGAAGCTGTGGCCGCAGGAGAGCGTGGCGGGCCGGGCCAGCAGCTCGTGACAGATGATGCAGCCCAGGTCGTCCTCTGTCAGTCACATGAGGACGGCCGGGCAGGCGTCCAGGCCCGCCCTGGTCCCCAGACCGCCGCCGCTCCGCCCACCCCCGGGGTTGGCGCGCGGAAGTCAGGGCTACGCTGGGGGCTGCCAGCCCTGCGGCTACGTCTCCTCCTGCTCCTCCCTCGCTCTCCCTGTCCCCTCCTCCTTCGCTGCAGCTTGGGTCCACCCTTGATTCCTTTTTTCCAGTCCTTTTGCAAGCTGATTTATGCGCTGGGAAATGCGCTCGCCCCAGGCCGTTAGAAACCCACTGATGTCCCAAAGATTTTCTTTAGCTTGATGTCCCCCACTCCCATCAAAGTGCAACCCTGGGACTTCCCTGGCGGTCCAGCGGTTGGGACCCCCGCTAACACTACAGGGGGCGTGGGTTCGACCGCTGGTCGGGGAACTAAGATCCCACATGCCCCCAGGTGTGGCCAAAAGATATCGATAGATAGATAGATAGATATAGATAGATAATAAATAGGTAGATAATAGATTAGATAGATAATTAGATAGATAATAGATAAGTAAGTAGATAGATAATAGATTGGATAGGTAGATGGATAATAGATTAGATAGATAATAGGTAGATAGATAATAGATTAGATAGATAGATAGGTAGATTAAATAGATAGATAATAGATAGGTAGGTAGATAGGTAATAGATTAGATAGATAGGTAGATAGATAATAGATTAGATAGATAATAGATAGATAATAGATAGGTAAAGATAGATCGATAGATAATAGGTAGATAGATAATAGATAGGTAGATGGATTAGATTAGATAGATAATAAATAGATAATAGATTAGATAGATAATAGATAATAGATAGATAGGTAAAGATAGATCGATAGATAATAGGTAGATAGATAATAGATAGATGGTAGATGGATAGATTAGATAGATAGATTAGATAGATAGATTGGATAGATAGGTAGATAGATAATAGGTAGGTAGATAGATTAGATAGATAGGTAGGTAGATAGATTAGATAGGTAGATAATAGATAGATAGGTAGATAGATAATAGATTAGATAGATTAGATAGATTAGATAGATAATAGATAGCTAAAGATAGATCGATAGATAATAGATAGATAATGGATAGATAGGTAGATGGATTAGATAGATAATAGATAGATTAGATAGATAGAGCAGTAGATGATAGATGGATAAATTAGATAGATAGATTGGATAGATAGGTAGATAATAGATAGATAGGTAGGTAGATAATAGATTAGATAGATAGATAATAGATAGGTAGGTAGATTAGATAGAAGGGGCTTCCCTGGTGGCACAGTGGTTGAGAGTCCGCCTGCCAATGCAGGGGATACGGGTTCGTGCCCCGGTCCGGGAAGATCCCACATGCCGCGGAGTGGCTGGGCCCGTGAGCCATGGCCGCTGAGCCTGCGCGTCCGGAGCCTGTGCTCCGCAACAGTAGAGGCCACAACAGTGAGAGGCCCGCGCACCACAAAAAAAAAAAAAAAAAAGATTAGATACATAGATAATAGATAAGATAGATTAGATAGATAGATAGATACCCCAACAACTCTTGGGAGGAGGAAAAGGAGTGGACTCGATTTAAGAACTCTTTTCTGAGAATGCGCCCACTAGGTGTCATCCAACCACTCCAAGTAGTGAGGGGTTGAAGAATACTTGGTGCAGAGAGCTGTGAAACTCTTCAAAAATACCGATGTTGTTTGGCCTCCACTCCCAGAGAGTCTGATTTCATTGTCTTGGGTGGAGCCCCAGCGGGGTATTTTTAAAAACCTCCCCCAGATGATTCTAATGTGCAGCCAAAGTTGAGTGACCCCTAGACTTTTAAAATCGCTATTACAATGCAGAAGTGAGCCACTGTTTCCTTACTGCCCTCTGCTGACTGAAAGCACATTACCCGATAGACTTCGGGACAAAAATACTAAAGTTTGTTTTCTTTTTTTTCTTATAATTTAATTTTTTAAAATTTTTATTCATTTATTTGTTTATTTATTGGCTGCGTTGGGTCTTTGTTGCTGCGCCTGGGCTTTCTCTAATTGTAGTGAGCAGGGGCTGCTCTGGGCTTCTCATTGCAAGTGGCTTCTCTTGTGGAACACAGGGTTCTAGGTGCGCAGGCTTCAGTAGTTGTGGCACGTGGGCTCAATAGTTGTGGCTCTTGGGCTCTAGAGTGCCAGCTTAGTAGTTGTGGCACTTGGGCTTAGTTGCTCCATGGCATGTGGGATCTTCCTGGACCAGGGCTTGAACCTGTGTCCCCTGCATTGGCAGGCAGATTCTTAACCACTGTGCCACCAGGAAAGTCCCAAAGTGTGTTTTCTTCAGGTAACAAGCCTGGCTCTGGTGGGGCTTGCTCTCTTCCTCCTCTCTTATTCCAGTCCCAAGTGCATTACAAGTAGAAAATGTAAGAGCTTGGAAGACCAAAGTCCCCAAGAGACAAAGGAACTTACAGGCTTACACAGCAATAACTGAATGGCAGAGAACAGGGCCTGTATCTCCGTGATCTGTCGAAATGAACTAAAAATGTCTTATATTTTATTTTACCCCATATTGCCTGGTGTCAAAGTAGGTACCAGATAATACAAATTTGTGTCTATTTCCAATACTGGAAATGACAGGAAGTAGTCCTTAGCGCTGCTCATCCAAGTTTCCAGCTCTTTCCCTGTCTAGGCACTTGGTAGGATTGGCACTTCTCTGACACTCTAGAAGTAATACGTCAACTTCACATCAGCTTAAAAAGCTAGTAAGTCGTTGCATCTTTTTCTGCCAGCTGCCCTAACTATGGAGATGAAATCGTAATTTGGTGGCCCCTGCCGGCCCACACTAGGACATGCAGTAAAGGAGAGAAATAAACCTGAGATATGTTTAAGTTACTGAGATTTAGTGGGTGCTTGTTGCTGCAGCATAACCTAGCCTATCCTGACTGATAGATTACCTGGATTTTGTTCCAGAGACTTCTCATTTGAAGTAAACTCATAGCTTCTCTGCACCTGTCTTTTCTGGAAAAGAAGCACAATGTCAGGCACATTTGCTTAAATCTTCCATCTTAACAAATAAAATTTCCTTTGATATAAGCCTCCCTCTAGCCACCCCTCCTTCTCTTCTCCATTACACCCCAAATTTCTTGAAAGAGTAGATTAACCAGTGGTCTTCAAACTTTTTTTTCCTTGGACACCTCCTGAAAGTTTTATGCAAAAACATGCAGTGGTTACAAGAAAGGAGGGAGGGGTAGGAGGGGTCAGCCCTAGCTGGAAAAATACATAAAAAATTTCTTCCTTTACATCAGAAATTTTATCATTCTTTCATCTTGAACTTGTATTTCCTTTCCACTTTCCTCACAGAACTCTATTCTAAGGAGTATATTTTATGACGAAAGTCTTTTATAACTTTGTGATCACTTTCGTCACTTTGTTATAATTTTCTGCAACAAAAATATGTACATATATTGAATTTTCAACCTTTTTTACTTCTTTGGCCCTGCTTCCCCCGACCAGGGGTCGAACCCGCAGGGAGTCTTAACCATTGGAACTCCAGGGAAGTCCCTCTTTTTTACTTCCTGTGACCAAAAGTCTCTTGTTAAATTTTTCTCCTGGATTGAATTATCACTGCAATTATTACTATCAATCAAAACAAAAAATATTGTAAATTTATATAAATAATTGTTAAACAAAAAGTAAATTTTTATTGGAATTAAAACTCTTAATGAGATGGATGGTCCATCTTCTTTTTTTTTTTTTTTTGCGGTAACTGGGCCTCTCACTGTTGTGGCCTCTCCCGCTGCGGAGCACAGGCTCCGGGCGCACAGGCTCAGCGGCCATGGCTCACGGGCCCAGCCGCTCCGCGGCATGTGGGATCTTCCCGGACCGGGGCACGAACCCGTGTCCCCTGCATCGGCAGGCAGACTCTCAACCACTGCGCCACCAGGGAAGCCCGGTCCATCTTCTTTTAAAAACACATTTATCTGTGGATGAACATTACTTGCCCACTGCAGCTTTATTGAGATATAACTGACATTTAACATTGTGTATGATTCGATGATTTGATATATGTGTATTTTGCAAAATGCTTACCACAATAAGGTTAGTTAACACCTCCATCATGTCACATAATTACTTTTGTTTTTTACAGTGAGAACACTTATGAGTTACTTTCTTAGCAACTTGCAAGTATACAATACAGTATTGCTAACTATAGTCACCATGTTTTACATTAGCTCCCCAGAATTTATTCATTATATAACTGGAAGTTTTTACCCTTTGACTAACATCTCCCCATATCCCCTACTCCCAGCCCATGGCTACCACCATTCTACCCTCTATTTCTATGAGCTCAACTTTTTTAGATTCCACACTTAAGTGAGATCATACAGTATTTGTCTTTCCCTGTCTGACTTACTTCCCTTAGCATAATGCCCTCAAGCTCCATCCATGTTGTCACAAAAGGTAGGATTTTCTTCTTCTTTTTCTTTTTTTTGGCAGAATAACATTCATATATATATATATATATATGCACACATACACAAGTATATAGGTCTTCTGCCCATTTTTTAATTGGATTATTTGTGGGAGGTTTTGCTATTGAGTTACATGAGTGATGAACATTACTTAACACTAGAATTAGACAAGGTTCAATAATAAATTCTATTTCTATTTTTTTAATAAATGCTAATGCTGAAAAACCTTGTTCACATATATAAATAGATGACAAAATGCCGTACATTTTATTGAACACTTTCTGAAATATAGTCAGCCCTCTGTATCAGCAGTTTCCATATCCATAAATTCAATCATAAATTCATACCTTGCATGGAATGCCATTTCATATCAGGAAGTTGAGCATCCAAGGATTTTGTTATCCACGGGGTTCCTGGAACTCATCCCGTGCAGATACTGAGGAATGACTGTATCTATATATGCAAAAAAAATAAGTGATTCATCACCAGAAATTATTTTTAATAATCTCTCAGCTGACAACTTGATTAGATTTTCCTTTATTTTTTGTTGAAAGCAGAGAATTTGCAACCACCTGCGTTGCAAACGTCATTAGAATTATCCACTTTCTTATTTTCTGTGAGGTAGGCTAAAAAGACTTTACCAAGGTTTATCAAACTACTATCAGTTATACCAGTTACTCTTACTTAGAGGCATTTTGTTTAACCTGATATACTCAGAAAGGGCTAGGAAAATTAGAATATTGTTCATTTAAATACACCTTTGTTAATTTAATTTTTTTTGGAAAGGTACTTTTGTCTTAAGTGCTTGAAATATATTTCCTTCAAAAGTTTGGAGCTGCAAATTTAGCTTATTAATCAGACTCATTTTCTATCATAGAATCTGACATCATTGTTAAATTCAAGTAGATGTGTTAATACACGTTCCTGTGATGCTGAGTTCTAATGCTAAGTTAGATGGGAAAGGAGTTTGTGTGCAACTGCCATTAATACATTCTATCAGTGCTCCTTTCTTTGCTTTGCTCTCATTGGATTCCTTAAGGGACAAAGCATATTTTGTCAGGGGAAGACAGAAGTCAGTAAACTGCTAACCTAAAATAATTGAACAACCAGTTAATTTTACCAGGAAAACGGGTTTATTTGGGAGCAGCAAAGAATTGCAATTCAGGACATGGAACTATGGTGAGCCACATGCGAGTCCAGTTAAGCAAAGGACAGGAAACTCTTTTATAGAGAAGAAGGGGACGTTGGGAGGGGCTTCTAGAAACAAAAGGTCCTTTGGAGGAAATTGGGAGTTTGAAGTACAGTGGCTTTTTATTGGCTGAGCTATTGCCAGGCGAGGAAAAAATTTTTTCTTCCTCCTGCTGGCAGAAGTAAAGTAGTGTCACTTCCTGCTGGAGATGCAAGGTACTTCTCTTCCTATTAGGATCTGTATTGATGTGGAGTGGTATGTACATGATAGAGCTTCCCCCTTCTGGCCTCCTGACTCCAGTTTAGTGAGGTTTCCCTTTATTAATTTTCACAAGACATACATCACCCTTATTTCCACTCTACTTTATATGAACTCAAAACACCCAAATATAAGCCAAAACATATTTTTAATGCCAAACCTTGTCACCAACAAAAATCATCATTAAACGAAGGAAGTCACAAACCCTGACCTCAATGCCTTGACTTAAAAAAGGCTACACTGGCACTGTTAAAAGAATGAAAAGCTACAGATTGGAGGAAAATATTTGCAAATCCTATATCTGTCAAAGGACTAGTATCCAGAATCCACAAAGAACTCTCAAAACTCAACAATAAGGAAACAAACCATTTAATATCACATTGTATTGACAAAACTGTTTCATCTTTTGGGGAAAATTGATTTAACTCTTTTAAAGCAAAAGCATGTTAGTTTGAAAACTGTGCCTCTCCAAGTTGAATAAATTCATGAACTCTAGTGTAAACTCAGTATTATTTCAAAGGGATAGTGCATAAATTTAAGAGCAACTTCAATATCAATAAAGTGTCCTGCAAATTTTTCTTATAGTACTTTTGGACAATTTACATGTTACTACTGATTATAATTAAAGTGTTCTGCATATTGATTCAGTTAGAAAAGTGTATAAAATTGTTACTACTGATTTGTATTATTAAATGTTTTCATCGCAACATAAATTCTTGTAACTGCTTAGCTAAGTCACAAATTAACCTTTCCTTAGAGTTTCAAAATTAGCTCATTCATATGCAGTGGGATATCAGTGAGAAAACATAATCACACTGCCTTAGGTCTTTGATTATCGACTATTTTGCAATCATTCCTTTGGTTTCAAGAAAATCTTGAGTTGAAATTAAGAGTACACTAAATAATTGTAAAACTTGTCCAGAACTCAACCAAAAGCATTGGCAAAGAATATGAGATCACTGAATTGTCTTCCATTTCTTTCAACAGTTCTATAGACTGGCATTTTCATGTACATGCTGAACAATTTTAACAACTGTATCCATGACAGTTTTCATAGTCTGTTTCAGAAAACTGAACATAAATATTTTTACTTTGTGTCATACAATGGAACAAAATCATAAGAGAATCATCAGCCTCTTATTTTAAAATTTCAGTATTTGAATTTTTGACCGAACATAGCTAAAGAACCATCTGTCACAATAAAAATTAGGTTTTCCATATCTACCTGAAATTCTTCTCTTACAGATGTAAAAGATTCAAAAATATCTACACCATCAGTTTGATTTTTAGGCAGTGGATTGATATTTCCTCATAAATTTAAAAGTCCTTTGAAACAAAACTTACCCAAATTATTCATTGTTAGTCTTGTATTACACAACTCACCTAAAACTAAAGAAAAGTGCCTGTTTTCAAATTTTGAATCAGCTGATCTTTGACATTATTAGGAAAAAACATCGTATTCTACAGGTAATTGTTTGGCAGTTTAACTGAAGATACTTCAATTTTTACAAAATTTAGTTTTTAGTCTTTTCCTCATCATTAAATTTTTTTCCACAACTGAAATAATAAATATCTTATGCACTGCAATGGTTAAATTAAAATATGTCTTACCAAAACAACTAAGTTGTGCTTGAAGAAAAAATATCTTA